AAAACATCACTAGTGCTATCACTGCTATAGAATGCTGAAGAATTATAAAACTTCATATCAAAAGTACATTGCTATAAGCTAAATATTAGATGAGAACCAAGAAGGATCTTGTACATATTCCAGAATCTATCCTGTATAACTAGAAATACAATAAAATATAAATAGAAGTTCTATTTACTTTATTCCTTACCAATATTTATATTAGACTTGTGAAAATTTGAATACATTAAGTGATACTCTAACAGTTGTATTTTGAAGTACATGAATGAGATTTGCAAGATATATATAATATTAATTCTAACAGTTGTATTTATGTGCATCTAATTTGGAATGTTTGTAATATTAATTGTAATGGGTATATTTATATGTCTTTGAATAAGGGTTCTGCACATGAACAGTTTGAAGGTAAATAGTAAAGAGTGGTGTTACCTTATGAACTTGTAAAGCAAAGACACTGGTACTAAGTTTTGTTTGTTGTGTTTATGTTGTAATAAAAATGTATAAGTAATGTTACCATGAAATGTGTACTGTTTTCACAAAACTGATTTAATACTGGAATACATTAAGATTTTATCTACATCCAAACCTATTGGTCTCAGGTATTTTAAACAACATAGCTGTGAGCCTATGACAGTAGCATAACAATTATTTTAACTGTAAAGATTGAACCAATAGCCAAAGAGGAACAGTGGAAACAATTAAGAGCTAAAAATAAACACTCACTCTAGCTGGTCCTTTTTTTGTATCATCCTGATTGATCAAAATATATAATGTTACAGTGATCTTTATTAGTAATACTCTTGATTAATAAAAAAGTTGTGTTTACTTTCCATTTTTGTTCTATCCTACAGCAATTTTTATGTTATTTTAAGTTCCATTATTTTATTTTTAACATTCAAACATTGTACATAACCAATTATTTGCTAACAGAAAGTGAAATTATGTAAGGTATTGGTTCAGTCATTTGTTACATATATGTCTCTCATAAAATCATGAACAAGTCAAAGTGCACTAATGAATTTTGAAATGTTGGAAACTTCTAAATCATTTTATATACCATAAACATTGATACCTTTGAGTTTAGGCTTAAGGGTAAAATATTTTGCAATTTAAAATGCCTTTGATGTGTTCATAGTAATAATTATTAAAATTATGTTTCTGGTATTATTTTAAACAAATGATGGTCAAAGTTTTCTTTTTTTTTTTTACTTTTTAAAGCATAACCAACTGCCTGCAGACACTGAAAATAAATATCAAAGGATGGATGTCACTTAGAGCCTCAGATACCTCATTGCATAATAATTAAAATGCTATGAAAATGTGATTTGAATGGCTGTGGGCAATCTTGGACATATTATCTGTCATAAGAAACAGCAAAATGTTATTTTTTCTACAATTCTAGTAATCTCTTCCAATGTTGTGTCTTAACACAATGTGTGTATATAATATATAAAATGGCATGACCTGATTAGAAACTTCTCTTGGAGTACTAAATTTGTACTTCCAGAGTATGTTATAGGTATAGATATATTAGCTTTTGGCAAGTTTCATCACAATGCTTAATGAGGACTTGGCTCCTTGACACTTCAAAAGTGCAAAACGTGTGTGTGTGTGTGTGAAAATATTGAGGCAGAGTAGTAGATATGTACTACTTCACCTATAAAGGGTTAAGTAATGTTAGTAGCCTAGCTTGAAAGTCCTTTATACTTGTACACAGGAGGTAACCAGAATCATTTATCCATTGTGCAATGCAATTTGGACAACACAGAAAACGAAGAGGAAAACCTTGTACAGAAAGTGGTGTAACTTTCAGTCAACAAAAGAAACTAGCATTGCAGTATGCTTACTTATGACATCTGCTCCACTGTATGGAGAAGTCTGACTTTCTCAAGACACCTCTCGTACACTGACATTTATATATGTCCTCTTTTATCACAAGTGTGACAGTAATCCTCAGTCATATCAAGTGGCATCAGGAGCCTAATACCAGAAGATCTTCTATGATACAGCATCAGTTGGTCTCTCAGTACTTGCCTGGTGTTGCTTACATCTGTAGCAGTGAGGAGCAAAGATGTTGGGTTGCTATGCTCATGTTGTAATGTTTTAAGGTAATTAGGCTACCATTGTTATCACAACACACAACAAGCATGTAATCGGTGTAGTAATTAAGACTGAGGTTCTCTTGTCAAAAGTGATGCATGTACTAAATTAAGTCATATAAATTCATTTGATTATCAGCAGGTATAGGAAGCTAAAGCTTGTTTTAAATGAATTTTGTGTAGTGACACAAAAGGATCTTTTGCCTGCTCATTCTGTCATGTTATGAAACAAAGTAAATGCTTCCATCTATCACCATATACAAGTTTTTATATGTTACCAGATTTGTTTTAAAACATTTTTTTTTCTTTCAAAATTTCAAAAATAATGAACATAAAAATTACTCTAGTCAGCCATTAATCACAGCCATTTTGGGAGTTAATGTGATGAGGACAAAAGATGTCATAATTGATCTGTATATTTGCTGTACCTTTCACCTACATCAGATATGAGCCATTTTAGGCTCTTATTGACACCCATCCATCTGTGTTTTACAATTTTACCACTAATTTTTCAGTGCTGTTTTTATTTATTGTGGTGACACTTCTTTTTGATTGTGGTTCTATTTGTGTTCCTGTAGTTAAACTGATCCAAGAGCTCCTTATTTTGAAAATATATTAGTCATCTTATTATTTATTTAGATAGTGATTCTAAGTTAGAAGTATTTTAATGTCTTTAGGTATTAAACACCAGTCTTTTACTAATAGATGGATAAATTTTAATTTCATTCATCATTTTGAGCTAGCTAATTGTATTTATATGTAAGTATAGTTTTTGTATAGTTCTTTAAAGTTAGAAAGTTCTGTAGTTTATCTCTATGTTGATCATCAATGATTTAATTAATTACCATGAAACTGTGGGTAGTTACTAGTTTTGAATGAGAAGTTAAATTAACATATTATCAGATTGTTTGTGGTGAAAAAATGCGTTATATTGTACCAGATTTAGCATGGTTCAAGAAATATAAGTTGTGTAAATGGTTTGTACATTATCTAAGTCCAGTTTTACACATATTTGCCATTTTTGATAAAATTGTGTTCTTATTTCTTTATAACATAAGCATTTTATGTATATACATATGTATGTTCAGGTTTTTCAGTAATCATTACCTCCGAAAATCAACGTGCCAGGAATTGGATGTTGAGTGGGGCTATGCTTTTGATGTTCATTTAAATGCTTTTTTTCCACTTCTGATCATTCTACATTTTTTTCAGCTTTTCTTCTATCATGGTAAGTATTTTCAGCAACATGTTCTATATTTTGAAACTGTGTGGCTCAAAGTTTATAAAACAGTCATGAAAATTGGTAATAAGCATAATTAACAATAATTAATAGTTATTTTGTATTCATTTCCTAATTTTCAATAAATTTTTCATGAATAAAACATTTTTGATGTTTCCTTTCTCATTTTACTTTTCCTGTGTACAAAAGTGCAAAGTTAAAATCTCATGTTTCTGAGGCAGCATTCATATATGTCCATATATATATATATATTACAAATAATGATATAATATAATAAAGCATGATATAATAAAGTTTGGTTTTCAGTTTTGAGTATTTTGCTCCCACACTAATCCATGCCATACATTCAAAGTTGCACACTAATCTACGCCTTACATTCAAAGTTGCACACTAATCCACGCCATACATTCAAAGTTGCACACTAATCTACGCCATACATTCAAAGTTGCACACTAATCCACGCCATACATTCAAAGTTGCACACTAATCCACACCATACATTCAAAGTTGCACACTAATTCACTGTAACCATACCAGCATTCAAAGTTTCAGAATTTTAGCCCTTTCTTATTTATCCTTCATGTAGTTTTATATACAATCAGTGACATAAGGGCTGTTGCATTATTGAAAATCAAAAAACCCTTTAACACCTTAAACTTGTGCTCCTTCAGCTGTGAAGCTGTATTTCACAATCAGAATCCTTTCCATGTTTGAAAAAGTGCAATGTTTTCTGGGTAAGTTGTTTATTTAGAAGACCTATATTCTTGGTTTAAAACAATTTTAAATAGCTATGCAGTGATGCAGCTTTTTATGAAACTTCATTTTTCTAGCTTCTTTCACTTCAAAGTTAAAATAACTATAACACCTTTTTTTGAATAAATAAGAGTTGTCAAAGATAACAAAATGAAATGCTGTAGATTTTCTGAATTGGTTGGGTACGTCCAATAGGAAAATACCAGCCAGGTATTAAGAAGCAGAGATAACTTGCCAGTACCTACTTTATCACTTTGCCTTCACAACTTTCATTGAAAAAATAATTTGAAAACTGTTTAATTCAGTTAATTTTAGAGACAGACATAATTCTTCAAAGTGTTAATTTTAAGTTTAACCTGCAAAAGATAGAAACTTTGTATTTTAATCTTCTTGATCTCATTCTTGTTATTTTTGGGCGATATAGATAAAAACCTGGGTGTGCTCATAGACAGAGATCTCTTGATTCCACCTCGGGTAGGGGTGGGTATTGCCAGAAATTTTGAATTGCAATATTTTGCACAAAATCTTTGTATACCAGGTTTATTTTGTCAGCTCATTAGTTGTCTAGGCATCATTTAGCTTATGTTGTAACATTGTGTACCATTGGTGGATTGCATAGTGTATGCCTTCAACCTATGTACAGTTTGATGTAGCTTCTGTTCTAGTGTTAATTTTTTGTGCAGAAGTTTTATTGATTTTCAAAAGAGCTTCTTTGATATTGCAAAAATTGTTTCTAAGAACATAAACAGCATCTGTTTTTTCAGACCATCTTGTCTTGCGTACTTTTTTTAATGTTGAATTCTTCCCTAGTCAATCTTCATACAGAAGCAGAGAAAACTACAAATAAGATTTGCACAAAATTAAAAAATAATGCCATTTCAGAACATAATTCTTCTGCATTATTGCCAACTAGGTATAATGAAAAGCTAACAAAAGGTATAAATAAGGCTGATGCTACTTGCTTTTTAATTCTTACTTGAAGTCCTGATTATTTTCTAGCCATATTTGAAACATTATCATAGATTTGTCCTCTACAGATTTTGATGTATAGATTTAATACTTGCAAGGTACTTAGTACAACTTGCTCTAGATATTTGGCCATGTGCAATTTTATAGAAATAAATCCAAAAAATTGTTTCTTTTATTTGCTGGTCTTTCTCAGTATAAAAGTAAGTTAATCAATATGACTTACATCCAATGTTGAATCAACAATTATGGAAAAATAAATTGCACTTGTAACTTTGTTTATGAATTTAAGCTGAACTTTATAAACTCATCACGAGTTTGATGTGACAAATAACTAGTAATTCCTTGATCCTGATTATTATAGCATTCCAAATGATCCTTTTTTTTAAATCATCAGATTTGCTAAGATACTCGAAACAACTTGAATAATTCCTTTTCCTGTTTGAATTTAAATTTCCATCATAGCCTCTACAATAGTTATATAACCTACTTACAATGTATGTAGATAGTCCAATTCGAGTGAACTTGATATACAGAGTGGCCCAAAAGTAGGTATACAGTCGCATATAGACATTTTATTCTGGGGAGTATTCAAGGATGGTGTACAGTATGAAATCGCAGAATGTTGATGAAATGAAAGGGTACATCACAGATGCATTTACAGAACTTGATGGACAGACAGACTTGTGTCAGAAAGTCTGCACAAGTGTGGCAGGCAGACTTTAGGATTGTGTGAACAGTGATGGGTTTCAATTTGAATGCCTGCAGGACTAACTTGGGATTAACTTTCTCATAATTCCATATTGTGTAAAGTGCCATTAAATACATGATCAATTATAAACTGTATATTTTAATTTTAAATCAGTTACTTTAAATACATTATTAATTATGAACTGTATACTTTCTTTTGGGCCATCCTGTATATTTTTATTATGTATACTAGAATTTAAAAAAAAAACATTTTAGGTTATCTATGTAATACATTATTTTTCTGTGACTATGTATTTAATTCTTTCATGGGTCTTCATACCCTAAAAATAGAACTCTAAGAAAAATTTAAAGGAATAATAAACCTTACCTGCCCTAGTTTTAAATTCAACATAATACGAAACACTAGTACTTTTTCTTGGATCTGGAAAAATTCACCTATTTATGTGATATAATAATTTTAAAACAAATTTAGTGCATACTAAAATTTGCATGTCATTCTAACACATACATTGATATAAAAATACAGCTAAGTTTACGAATGGCATACACTTAGTTGTGAAAAACAAATATGCGAGATTCGTTACAGACCCGTTTGTTGATTGTCCTGCTCTCCAAGGTGACCCGTATTACTATGTTTTCTAATGCCACAAAGTACAAGAAATATCACAGTCTTGAAAATTCTAAACTCTAATCTGAACACATCTTTATTATGATCTGAATGTATGAATATTTTGTCTTAGAAAGGGCTCTTTCTTATCATTCCCAAAAGCACTCAATTTTTGGTAGCATCAGACTACTCAAACGACACCTAATAGTGTCAAAATGTAGTTCTGATACATAGTGTTTCACTGTGAATATACTGGTTGTGGTTGTCACAGAATTTGCCTATTTGCATATTCATATTGTTTTAATAAAACATACTTCAGCCCTCTGTACAGGCAATTATGGCAAAAGTGATAATAATAAATATTCGTATGATATGTGAATATCCAACATGAATGGTGCAGAATTCCACTATTGCTTGACTATAGAAATAACTAAGCATTACCAGACTTATAGAACAAGTATTAGTTACTGCTTTGTAGAAAAATGCTCAAACTAAACCATTTATTCAAAATGCAGAAAAATATTTATTTAAAAAAGATGAGTAGACAAGCAGAAAGGTTCTTATTTGTTCAACAGCAGTCAAACAACTGAAAATATGTTGTGTTTGAAAAAAAGTAGTAATTTGAGTATGTGAAACCTTTCATAATAACGTCTAAAAGTTTTTTCTTATAATCTGTAGCTTTTTATCAAAATTTTAAACTTTCACCAAATTCAAATTTGAGAATTAAAAAAAAACATCACATTCATTTTTACTCTTTATTTTTTGCTACATCTCAAGATAACTTTGTAAACACTTACCAATTAGAATTTTGTAAACTATGAATAACAATGCTTCTTGACTTTTTAAAAGTTTAACATTACTTCAACCGAGAGAGATTAGAATGCTTGATGGACATTAACATAGTTATGTTTTGTTTTTCAAAAATTTTAATTTGAAATGTTTATCTGTAAAGAGTAATTATTTAAATATATGCTCATAAATCATTACTCTGTTTTTGGGGTGTATGTGTTCTCTATGTTCACTTTGTTTGAATGTAAAACAAATCATAAACTTGTTAAATGATATGCCTCTACATTTGATTGAAGCACAGTGTTATTTTCTCTTTGAATAACTTTTTACTATCTTCATACAAATACATTTGTTCATTGTGACATAGTGATAAGATTAATTTATCATTTTCTCCCTTGTGATCAACTTGATTGATAAGTTACCTTTATTTAACAGAGGATTGTGATTACCCTGTGTGTTATTTTTACTGTACATGATAAACTTTAAATTTCAAATCAAACAGTTGAGAAATTCCATATAGCTTATTTGTGAAAGCTATAAAAGGAAACTGAACAGAATTAGTAATATGAAGTTCATATTTTTATGTATATTGTTTGTAATTGTTGAATTTTTCAGTTTGTATAAATAGAAGGCTTTTTTTTTCTTTCCAACCCTTGTTTTGACCATTTTGGAATGTATAGTCTGGATCATTTAATGCTGAATGTTAGGAATAAAAATAGGGTTGAGAAATGTAAGCTTGTATTCTTTTAAACTAAAAACAAAAGTGATTAAAACATTTTCACAGTGGTGTGATAACAAATTATTTAACAAGTACAACTATTTCTGTTTGAAAAAATATTTTAAGTTGTGGAAATCAGTTCGTTAGTTGAAGATTGATCAATACTGCTACTATTTCAGTCCTTATCAGGCATGACTGGTTCATATCAAGACTTTTTGGAAACACATTATGGTTTATTGCTGTAGGCTACTACATCTATATCACATTCCTGGGTTACAGTGGTAAGTTGGGTGTTACTACATTGCTTTTGTTGGTTATTGACACATTATGTTGAACTTCTCAGTGTAGACATTTATTAATTAATACAAAGAACTGAGTTTTAAACAAATTATTATGACATAATTGGTACATATAGTATACACGTTGTTTTGTCAAAAGATGTTAAGATTGTATCATGGAACTTTGTAAATTATATACCATTTTTCACATTGCATCCAACACTGTCTTGCCTTTACTTTCAAGAAAAAGATTGAAGCTTTAGTTGAAAGCCAGTCTATTCATTGATTTTCTCTACATGTTGACATTTTTTACTCTCATATTTCAACATTGGACAGAAATGTTGACTAGAATGTGTTTTATTTCACATGTATTGTCCAGGAATATCGTTAAGTAGAAAAATCCTTTACAGTTAGCCTCAATACATTTTATTGTACTGTGGAGAGAAGTGACCAGTTTTATCCTTAATACAGAGAAGTATTTATCTAGCCAAGCTGAACATATTATTTTCAAGTTATGCAAGGCCATTTTGTCCTGTTGTTTGTAAAAGTTAATGCTAGTTCAGCATTGTATGCATACATGTACAGATGATTTTGCATTTTCACCTAGGGACAAGTGAGATTTAGCTGTTCCATTTCAGCATGGGTCAAGGGTTATTTTTATTAACATTGTGGTTGACCATATTCTCGGTAGTTTTCAATACATGATGTAAGATGTACTTAATGTAAATAAGAGTACTTGTTCTGACCAGTTACAAAATTAGAAGGAAAAGCATGAGGTCAGAATGACATCATCCATTGTTCAGCTGGAAGTAAAGGGGGGGGGGGGAGGCAACTGATGTGGATAAGTGTTATCCAATTATGGCAAATTATTGGCATGAATTCCGCTGGTATGTCCTACAAGGCGATAGGTAGACAGCTTGGCTATCATTACACAGTGATCAGCCGTTTGGTC